CTGATTTACCGCACATTACAGATATCTTGTTGAGGACATTATGAAACAAAATTTAAAGTTTGTAGTATCGGCCAGAAAGCCTCAGGTACCCACTGGCGAGTGGAATCCTTCATAGCTTTATCATGCAGTGGCAGAATATCGTTGAGTACTTAGCAAGTACCGTTGCTCTCAGTATGGTGTATCATGTAAACACCGTAAGCAAGGGTGTCATAGAAGTCGCATTAGGAATGAACCACTGTAGCTCGGTCCCAGTCCTATGCAAAGTGGAGTTGATCCCTCAACTGGAGGCCTCCAAAAACGTAACTTTTGATGCGCTAGGCTGTTTTTGATGAGCAGACAAACGCTGTACCGGAGCTTGACAGGCTTAATCTACTCCGCCTTCTTCTCTTACACACTCGGGACTTGTCCAAAACAAGCCGACCATATACCCGCTTAAGCGTGGTGATCGGCGCTACCTGAAGTCGGCCTTTATTGCGTGCGGCACAGGAGCTCAGCTCTCACCGAAGTGGGAGATAATATGGGTCCAAATTGAGAAGGACCAAGTGCACACATATACTCTTCCCAAACAAACAAGTTAAATATTCCCTTAGCTCGCAAACCTACAAGGTCACGACTTTTAGTACGCGTTGCTATGCCCAAGGGCGTCAGATTTACTTTAGTGAGAAATGTGCTGATTGACAACGAGGAAAGTTTCGCTATAAATCTTTACCATACTGGCAGCACGGGTAATAGCTAAAAGGCAAGACATGCGTTTCGCCAATATTCTGTCGCTGCATCGCCAAACTGCGAGTGGTTCGGTTCATCAATGGGTTCTCCAGCATTCCCTATATGCTTTCTGATAGATGCTCCAGTTTTTAAATTGTATTCCTTTTCAATTTCCGCATAAATAAATTTCTAATTCGGAGTAGGTAAAATTTAGGTCTGCGCCTGTAGAGAATTAAGAATATTGATCTACTTCCAGTTAAAAATTAAATTCTGGGGGAATTAAAAATAATTACAAGAATCACTATAGTCGGCCCAACTTTTTCTCTCTCATCGCTCCTATATACACCAGTGGGCGGTCTGATCCTGTCAGCCCATTATTTAAGGGATTTGGTGTACTAACTGGGTTGAGTTAGCTTCTCGCCTATCGCGTGTAACTTGTACGCATACAAGCAAGTAGTACAATTCATGATCGTTAGGAAACTTCGTAAATGTTACTAAAGTGTTCGTATGTAGGTACTAGATGATCCGAGTTTCCGCACATACGACAGGAAATATACATGCCGTGGCTCCTATATAGGGATGATGTGAACTAGGCTGATAGGGAATCCATTGGCGTTGCGTGTCGTGCATCCACCTATTACCAGAACACGCTGATTCACTGTGATCAAGGAAGCGACGAAGGACGAGCGTTGGTCGGGGTTCAGGAACGGGTCCTTCTGTTATGCACAGATGAATTCGCGGGTGGTCTATCAAGCCAAGGTTTAAGTGGATTAGGCGATTTTAGACGCTAGTAGGCGCTAGTAGGCGCAGTGTCAACGTGACTAATGGTAGTGTTAACTGTCCCTTAATCCCCTGTGACCTTAATACCCCGACGATAGCTGACCAAGATAAAGTGGGGCTGAAATGCAATGGTAAAGGGAAAAAAGTGAAAGAGCTGTTTCTCTGTTGGGATTTTGGTGTTGATTTTAGATTTTTTGTGTCCCAAAACCGACTGCACTACAGCAGCGTCCCACCAAAATAAGAATCAGACTCACATACGCTAGGCGGTTATCGGGGTGCCCTGAGTACACTTGAGATCTTAATTATTATCGAATGTGTGTTAGATGCCCGTCAGTAGTAACGTTTGGTCATTAATATTGGCGAGGCCGACGGTAAGACTTAATCCAGAATAAGTACTAATGGTCGAAAACTAAAAAAAGTACCGGCGTTTCCACAGAAAAAAGGGGGAAGGTTTGGCACCTTCAGTTATTAGTCATATTTCAAGCATAAATAGAGTATCCATTTAGGTGTAAGAGCTGGATGCCGAGCTCTTCGAGTATAATACCTATAACACTAAAATTACTTGAAATGTACCTATTTATCTATTAAACGCTTTGAGGTTCGGAAACTTTTGCACCGAAGAGCGAACAAGCTTCCGGCTCCCTCCTTAAATTAAGTATACATATGCATCCATGACAAGGTATTCTAGTAAGCACGAAAATTAAGTTATACACTGATGACCCTATCGCGCACCCAGAGCTTACACGCGTAAAATAGGATAAGTTAAGCAATAGGTCGTCTACATAATAGTAAATGACACGTTTACTAATCTCAATAGCAGGCTGAAGAAACGAAGGCCAGTTTAAACGAGATGGTGCTATTCATGGAACAACTATTGACCTAAGCGATCAGCCACATCAACGCTAGACAGTTTTTAATTTTGGAGCATGGCTAGTAAGTTAGATAGTTTGTGCACTTCCTACACGACTGACAGTCAACTGAAAACCGGTTTCTGAAATTTGCAAAGTAAGGTTTTTGTTCAATCGCCAGAATACCATTCTTCGCTGTCAACATATTCATCTGAAGATGCGAATTTGTCCGCAGTACGGACAACAGCAAGGCAGAACGGGATGAGCTGTTCTGGTTTATTAAAAATCGTCAGCCTGTCATTAACAACTCCCGGTTTGGATCACTTGGGAGTTGAATCCGGAATTTTTTTATCACTGGGTCTTAGTGCAACTTTCTACCATCACATGATCAGGCAGTTGCCGTGTCAGTTGTGATGGTAAACATCTATCTTTGAAGGGACGTACACTGACCAGGTTACAGGACATGCTTATCCCTTTGCTACTCTGTGTTCAGTCAAGTCTTTGGGTCTGCCCAGCTCTACTATCCTTGTTGATAATGATTTCTATATACTGACTGGTCACTATGTATCCGAATGCATGACCTGTATATGGAGCCCGAATGCGCAACGAGGTTAGCATTTCGCATAACCTGGTCGGTGAATGCTCTTACTACGCATTTCCTTCAAATTATATTTCTTGGGATGTCTGCCTTCCAATATATTTATATATTTTGGGATTGTGTTCTCTGATTGGATTGCGGTACATGCTGTTTCCGCTACGCCAAATCTAGAGCCTACGAAGGCAGTCGCAGAGCTACCATGAATATATGCTGGAAGGTGTTCTGTCAAAGACAAAGGAGACTATAATTACCATTTCAGTCTTTTAAACCGTAATTAACCAGCCAAACATAATTCGAAGTTGGTAATCCCTGGAGCTCAAACCTGCGTTCTGTCAGTTATTAGTCCAAC